TGTGTGTGTGTGTGTGTGTTTTGTAATTTTAATGAATTTTGTTTATTTAATATTTATAAAATAATGTATTTTAAAATTAATAGCATCATATTCAATATCAGATGCTAATTAGAAGTTAATATCTGTTTAAGTTAATTATTTGATATAACGAAATAAATAATATTAATATTAATAAATAACGATTAAGCATGTTGAATAAAATTCCAAAAAAAAAAAAGTGTTGAATAAAGTTTTTAATATTTATGTTAATTTGTTAATTGAATTATTAATTATTGCTTGATTTAGTTTTATTTTAATTAAATATTTTTTCTCAATATTAGTCTATACTTTAGCTTGTTTTTTTAAGTTTGATGTCATTAAATTTGATTAAAGATTGATTTCTAGCTAATTTTAAGAAAAGTATTAATTAGATTCAAAGTAGTATTTAAATGACAATGTATAAATTTGGAAGATTTGCATACTAGCTATTGAATTCCTATGTATTTACATATCTAATATAAACTTTAATTTTTGCATACATGTCACTTTACCTATGAATGAAAAAGTACATTTAATTTTTTTAGTTAAAATAGTGATATTTTTTATATGATAATGTATAATGACTTGTAATTTTAGTGTAATATTGTTAACTCGTTCTCTGTTGCGAGAGAATGATGCACCTCTATACTTACAAACACACAGTAAATTATTTTGACTGGGCTAGACTCTGTGTTTTTCACTTTTCAAAGTTTTCCAACATAAATAAGTTCAGTGTATATTAGCACAACTTAAGCTATTTTTATCAATATGTGTGTCAGATCTTCGTACAATGGCAAGACATTAAAATCATTTCACCGTCGTGAATTTTTTGACACACAACAATCATGAAAGTTATAATGTTATGATTATGTTAACAAATTAAAATATAATAAAAAATTTACCTATAATAAAAAAATTACCTTAAAAATTAGAGAAAGGTAACACTAACTCCACTGAAAATTTATTTTAGTATAGAAAAGTACATGCAAAACAAAAATAAAAATAAAAATATACATGCATGTGCAACAAAATAATGCTATAGTGATGTTAAGATGGTTTAACATTTCTTTTTGGGTTGTAGTGATGTAAGACACGTAATAGTTAGTATCGATGCTCATCCAAATGTCATGCAAATGTGCACCATCCTTAACCATGTTCTTTGATTCACTTGGTGTTGATGATTTATACTGCAAATGTTGCAAATAATAAAGGTGCTAAGGTAGAATTGGAGATAGTTTCCAACATTTCATCGAGTAAAAGGTGTCATTGACATCGATCTTTATTTTATTTGAAATTACATTGCAGCAAAATATCATAATGATGTACCAAAACGAGGGAGGGGACCATGTACAGTAGCCCCTTAGCTCTACTCTAATGTAATTCTTAGGACGACCAATACAAAAAATATGATAATGTTAACTTGACAATTGCATCCTAATCTGACAATGGACTTAGATATGTAAGAGGACTCGAGCCTACATACATAGATGAGCAAAGCTTTGGAACTCTAGATGATATTAGATCCATGATTGAAGGACTTAAAGCAACCACTAATGCTAATATATCATGATTATCATCTCTTTAATTGTTTGGATATCTATTGTCACTATTTTATTACTCATCTATTTTATTTATAAATAAATTGTAGGGTTCTTGTCGTCTCTCCTCCAAGTACTAAAATTACATAAGTATCTAATATTCACATATATATATTATATTTATTTGCATATAAATAAAAAAAATCATTATATTTATTTGCATAAATTTAATTTTAATAATTTTCTCATAAAAGAGCAAATTTTATAAATACCCCCAAAAAATAATCTCTCTTAAGAATAAAAGTTTAACATTCATTGACAGAAAATCAGGCGAAATTTTCACTCCCGCGGCTCATTTCACCGGTACCCATCTCCTATCATCTGCAAGGCGGGGAGTATGGCGGCAATCGACGGCGACGGTGAGCGGTGGTGCGCGCTTACCGGCGGCAGAGGCTTCGCCGCGCGCCACCTTGTACAGATGCTGCTCCGATCGCAGGAGTGGCGCGTGCGAATCGTCGATCTGGGGCCCTCCATCAATCTCGAACCTCATGAGGAGACAGGTGTCGTCGGCGAAGCTCTCAAGTCCGGAAGAGCTGCTTACATATCCGCCGATCTACGATGGAAGCGCCAAGTCTCTAAAGGTGTCGTCTTCTTTGCATTGCCTTATATTTATTTCAGCAGTTGCAATTTCATCGAGGGTTACGCTTTGAATCTTTGGATGTGATTGGCTGCTATTTTAGTGTTTCCGTTTCGTTATTGATTGTGCATCTTTGAGCTATATTGGATTAGTAATGCCGCGCATTGCTATTAGTTATGTGTTGTGGATTGAAGGTGAAAAAATCGTATCGTAAGCCCCATCATGGCTTACTAGATTTCAATGTAGGTTCTCACAGTAGTTAGTTTATGATTGAAAAAATTAAGTATTGATGAGTTTAAGGATACTTAAATATATATATATATATTAAAAAACATAGCATGATTAAATGTGATCTAATAAGTGCTGACGCCGCCGTACCGTTTAGTTCGTGCGTTTCACCAGCTTATCCGAAATTACGTTTGGGTTTTTACACTAAACGCAGGCCGCAGGTCGACCCCTGCGGCCGGCCCGCGGGCTGCGTTTCAGGATAAACAGCTTATCCTGAAACGTACAAGCTGCCCCAAACAACCCTTAGTATGCCCGGGAGCTTTTGTGTTCATTATGGCATCAAGATATCCAAACATATGGCATCTCTGATTTTAGGGCTCATTTCATCATGTTAAATCATTTGTTGTGCTAATTTAGGAGTAACTTGTACTGTTAACTTGGTCTAGTTTAATCAAAAAGCTATTATCTGTGTGATCATTCATTCATTTGCATTGCTTTCTTTTCATCCTACTTTAAATTGATAACACAAAAAAGTTATTTTTATTGGGAACTTCTTATTGTGCACTGATTCATAATTTTTGTTTTAGTTTCAGCATATTCTGAAATGTTGGTTGTTGTGTATTATTTTTATTGGGAACTTCTTATTGTGCACTGATTAATTTTTTTTGTTTTAGTTTCAGCATATTCTGTATTTTTTTTTTTTGTCAGTTATCAATCATTATTATATCTATACCAAATATTCTTTGAATGTTTTGAAAACTTTGTGGTATGTTCTATCCTAATGTGATTTCATTTTTTAAAATTTCGTTACATTTGAGCTTCATTCATTGTGTTAATTTCTTTAATATTTCATTTCTAATTCTTTTTGCCGTTTTGCATTTTACTATGTTGTTTGTTTCTATATTTTTCTCATAACTTTGTTTTTTAATTCTTTTTTTTTGCTTATAAGTTGTTGATTTTTATCAGCTTAATGAGCTCCATAACCTTTCAATAGAAAATATTTTCATGTTTGGCCTTCTAGGTAACCAAAAACAGCCAAATCCATGAGCTACCATTTAAAATCCTTTGAAACCAAAATTTGGAACCTTATTACATTCTCCATCTTAATAGTTTATTATAGTTGCCATTCCTCTTAAAATCAAGGTTTTCATAGATAATATAGAAATGCCAAGTTCTTATTAGGATTCAAGCATCACGAGCAGGCTTGTTAGATATTTATTTAAACCTATTTTCTAAGAGCATAATTCAAAGGTTGGTAGCGATCCATGTTGACCTATTTCTCAAGTGTACAATTTTTTTTGCAGCAAATCAACTAAGCCCAAGGAAGGACTAAGGACATATCTGTTGCTTGAACATTCCATAAGTCATGTCTTGATGTTAGTCATATTTGATTGGGCATTCCACCATTCTAGAATATAATGAATGAACTTTAATTGAGTTAAAATAAACTTATTATGAGTGCCATATCCATGTAAGATTAAGTTTTGAGTTGATTGATCCATGAATCTAGCTCCTTGATATCAACTATTCCATCATAAGTAGAAATCTCCACTCGTCATATACTTTGAATCTTCACATTCTTCTTTCATGAGCGGCAGTTATAACCTTATTGTAGTTTCTCTTCAACTATGTTTTTTTGTGGCATAGAGGGAGCATGAATGGGATATGACCCCACCCACTCTAACATAGCAACCATCTACTATCAATCTAGGGACTTAATTGACTAGTTTGATGCTGAATTATTTATAGCCATTGTTTGGCTTCCTTCATATTCTTCTTGCTCTTATCTCTTTCTTGAATTTCGATGCGTCTCAAAGTCAAGAAGTAACTCTCTTTTTTCTTTATATATTCTCTTTTCTTGTATAACACATAACAGATCACAACCTTTATACGAACTCGATCCACAATCAAAATCTCAATGTTATGATCCAAGTTCATTGTAAGCAGAGAGAATTGATTCATGAAGGTTTGAAAAATTTTGTAGAGGTTCTCTATTGATCTATTAATCAATTAAAGGCACCTCAAGACCGGATTTATGCTGTGGATCACTTTTCTCTTTTTTGTGTTATTCTTGTTGTTCATAGCAAGTATCCTCTCTATTCTTGATTATTTTCTTGCTAGACCAAAAATAATCAGTTTTTAGCGGAGTAAATTACAAGACAACTATAATATAATAATAGGATCGCTGCAAGGAAGCATTAAGAGAGTTACACAGTAGAAGTAAGACAACTTCAAGGCAGTAATTGGAGCCAACACTTCAAGGCAGTAATTGGAGCCAACAGCAGTGGTAGAAAGGCAATTAAAAAAGCTATAGTAATTATGTGAAGAGAAGTAGCTGGCTTTGCTTCTATAATACTTGATTCTATAGCTATTATTTTTCAGAAGCATTGGGGAGATGATTATGTAGGTTTTGTTAAATGAAAATGTGTTAGTGACTTTAATGGGTTAGGAGAACTTAGAGAGGAGAAAGGTTTTGGGAGAGTTTTTTTATTTTTAATCAAATTGCTTGCAGGAAGTAAGGCTTATTTACTTTCAAGATAAATTTTCATCAATCACCTAGATAATTTCAACAGAAACTATTCCATGCAAATTAATGTATATAATATTAACATTCTAACTCATCTTTATCGTGCTAAACTTTGAATTATGATCAAATAGTCTAGATTTTTAGGGCTTTGTTTTCTTATATGATAGGTGATTAATGATCTGATCTTTCCTATGAACTCTTGGTGTAATATATATATATATATATATATATATATTATGTTGTTGGTGTGATTTGAAAATCACCATTGTTGATAATTTTCATTGAAAAATTGAGAATGAGAACTTCTATGAAGATGATCTCTTTGATCATTCCATAATCTGAAATTAGAAAGTTTTTAGCCAAATAATTTACTCGTGTTTATTTAACTTAAAAAAATTCTTCCAGCTAGAGGACTTTCTAGATTTTTCTTTTGACTAGTTACTACTTCACCATAAATAAGTTCATCTAAGCTTCACCTACTTGATTTGTTTTTTTTGCTAATATGTACTATATGTCCAGCATTTCATGGCGTAGAAGTTGTTTTTCATATGGCTGCCCCGGACTCGTCCATTAACAACTTCGAGCTTCATTATTCTGTTAATGTTGGAGGTAATATATGCCAACTTTACTATTCTGTGAATCATCAGTGTTATTCACTCGTTATTCGCTCAAGTAGCTCTTTTGGTTTGCTGCAAAAGGAGTGCACTGTATTCCTTTTGAAAGAGTTTCAAAAGTTTGGGTGTTTTGTCAAACGAATTGTAAATGCAGTGTAAATTGTAATGCTTTTAAAACTCATTCTCTAATTCATTTGCAATGTATTTTAAATTTGCTTCTGTGGGTGAATTTCAAATACTTTGCTTTGTGTAAGTGTTGCCCATGGCCCGCCCGCCAGCCTGCCGTTGCTTCCCTTGCCAACTGACCACAACGGCTGACCGCCCAACTACCTGCCTTTGTTGCCGACCGTCGCCCGGCCCCCACTGCCCCCGCTACCCCCCACCACCTCCGCCTCTACCACTCACCAGCCACATTTTATATTATTATTATTTTTTCTTCAAACCAATCAAGAAAATGTGAAGTCATGTATTTATTTTATATTGAACCAAACTACTTTAAAGTATTCCAATTGCAAAACATTACTTTTACACTGCATTCATTGTGTATTGTATTTCTGTTTCACCAAACCAAACCTCAGAAATTTGCAAGCTTAGACTGATAAAATATTGCAGTTAGGAGCAATTTCTCCGCATTTCCCTTTCCTTTAAAGGGATATAATTGCAGATTTCTTAGGATTTTGTTATGTTAAAATTGAAGGCCATTTTCGATTGTTCATACTCATTGAAGATTTTCATGGGCGATTGTTCATGAATGTTAAATTAAGATAATTTATTATCTATGTAAATTATCAAATAAATTTTAAAAAGATCAGATAAATTTGTGAGATTCTTATAGCATTAAGATAATTTTGTTGGCTAATATTTACTTTTTCAACTTCAGGAACCAAAAATGTTATAGATGCTTGCATTGAATGCAAAGTTAAACGACTGATCTATACCAGTTCTCCTAGTGTTGTCTTTGACGGCATTCATGGAATTTATAACGGGAAGGAGTCAATGCCATATCCAATAAAGGTTCCCATAACCTGTACTTAAAAAAGGAAAATCTAAATAGATACCACTAAATTCTTATATGTTTACATATGACACCTAAAGTTCAATTTTTTACATACACATCACCTTGACTATGCATGAAAAGGTGTAATTCCCTTTTAAAAGTTAAAATTGTGGTATAAATGTAAAAATTAAATTTTAGGTGTTAGATATCTAAATACATAGGAATTAGGTGGTATCTCTGTAAATTCCTCTACTTAAAAATGTTCAAAGTAAGTAGCTGGATACAATGTTTTTATGTCTGAACCATTGAAATCTTATTCTTCTTTTTCCAGTTCAATGACTCTTATTCAGAGACTAAAGCAGAAGCAGAAAAACTGGTTCTAAGGGCGAATGGTAGAAATGGGCTTTTGACTTGTTGTATTCGACCTAGCAGCATTTTTGGCCCGGGTGACAGGCTATTGGTTCCTTCGCTTGTTGCTGCTGCTAGGGCTGGAAAATCCAAGGTAATGCAGTCATATTCTGATGATTTCATCTCCATAATATAAATCTATTTCCCGCACTGTTCAAGTCTTGCAATTACTATCATTTTTTCGTTACATTTTCTTAATTTTGTTAGGTGGTTCGATTTTTGTATATGGATGATAGTTCATAACGAAGTATAATTTAAGTTGGGGCATTTACAATCATACCACCCAATGCATATGTATTGACATATCTAACACTCAAAATTTGTTTTTGATATGGGATAATTACATAAAGACCACCAGAAACATTGATATTTACAAATTAACCATCTGGGTGAATTTTTTGAACTACCAAACCAGTGTATTTACATGCGCCACAATCAAACTATTGAGAACTTGATAAAAATGAAAAATATGGGTTAGGGTTTTACCATGAAATGCATCAAATGCTTTTATCTTATTTTTATTTTCTTGGGTGTCAAAATGGGGTTGGCTTTTCTACTGACACTAATGCAGGTGTTTGTGTTATACTAACATATTTTTCATTTTATCAGTACATCATTGGTGATGGAAATAATATGTATGACTTCACATATGTTGAAAATGTGGCATATGCCCACATATGTGCTGAACGAACTCTAGCCACAGGTGGTACAGCTGCAGTTATAGTAGCAGGACAGGTAATTTATTTTTGTTTTTATTTCTTCTCCTTGATAATTTCCTCTTACTTTACCTTCCCTCAGGCATATTTCATTACAAATGTGGAACCGATAAAATTTTGGGAGTTCATGTCATTGATTCTTGAAGGCCTTGGATATGAAAGGTGAAAATTTTTCCATGCTATTTGCTTTTTGTGCTGATTTGTGCAATTTAAAATTTGCATAAGCTCACTATAATGCATGCAGCACACTCGGCCTAATGGTTAGATGCTTTGTCTCAAAGCACGAGGATTTGAGTTTAAAGTTTTATACATATGGGTGTGTTTACGAGTAAAGAAAAGCGGGCATTTACGTACATTCCACACAAATCATATGTTCTTACATATCTAAAACAAACTTTGATATTAACATTGACAACACTTTGATCAAATCACCATAACGCTTTAATCATGAATCATTACTCTTCAAGGACCAATTCCTATCATTTCCGTTTGGAGTTTCAGCCACTTTATTGACCCATAATTCATTATATTGCAAAGCATAGACGTTTCCTGTATATTGTGTGTTTGTTTTCCTAACTTATATTGAATCTCTTGGAGTGATTTGTAATAACTTTTATCATGCTGTCTCTCAGTAACTGAAAACCCTAGTCTTCTACTTTTCTAATTGCATTTGAATATCCCAATATGGTGAAGTGTTGAATCGATATGAATTTCACAACCATTGTAAACAAAATATGTCCTCCTTCACCTCTTTTTGCTTCTCGCACCAACAAACCTACAAAAATGAAAATGGATGCTCACACAGTGGGGCTGTAAGGATACAAATGTACATGAGTTCATGCACATTGATCCTCCTCCTCCTCCCCCCCACACCACCCAACCCCACCCCCCCCCCCCCTCTCTGCCCCTTCTCTATTTTTTTTTAGGAAGATTGGCATGCATATCACTCAATTCTTATGTATTTATATTAGAATTTTTATTTATTGGCTAGTTTTAGCCTTTTGAACTATATTGATACGACATTTGGCCTTCATAAACAAATATTAGCTTTGATTCTTTATTATTCCTTTCATTTTCTACTATATCCTGTTTTTATTTCTTTCTTTTATAATAGAGATCCTGTAATGGGTACTTATACCCCTCTATGCATCACTAATATTTACCTTGGGATCTATTCTAACATGGTATCAAAGTCATGGCCTTGACCTAGCCGTCGGGCCTCTCCTTGCCGTCATTTGCTCCTTATCGGCACTGACACTTCCTTTAGCCGATCGGATCTCGTAGTCTCTCTTTCCCGAGTCCAGTTCAGTCGGCTAGAGCTTCTTTCAGGCGCCGCTTTTACCTCGTGCTGGCCGGATGTTGCTTCAGAAGGCACAACCTGACTGTCCAGCTGCTAGAAACAGAGCCTGATTGCTCGGTCTCTCTTCAGGTTTGCCGGTACAGTGGTCCTCTTTCTTTCTAGCTGGCCTGACATACGTTCAATCATCAGTCCAACCGACCAAACGTGTTTCTACCCTCGAAGGAAGGCTGTCCAAATGGATCTCTTCTCGGATTGCCGGAGCTTCTTCTCTAGGTCGGATCTATCCCCTCCTGCTTCTGGAATTGTCCGATGCCTCAACAACTCAACATCTCCTTTGGATCAGTTGAAATCATGGCATAATCCTCAAGTGAACTTGATTCCAGCGGAGGGTCAATTCCGACCTTTGTTCCTCTGCAGAGACAGAAATACAACACGAACTTCTTAATTGCAACTCATTAACTAAGCGACAGTAACCTTCAACTCTGGGCAGGTCACCTCACTTGTGATCACCATCACAAACCCAACCATACTCGTAATAAATGTTGGATGCTCCCGGGAAACCTACATCCAAACCGTCGGCCAAATCTTCTGCTGTCAAGGGTTTTGCTACAACTTCTGAATCCAACACAGTACAACTGACCTCTACCTGAACATTCAGAGTACTCCAATTCTCTTAAAAATCAAATAGTGCAATTAATTAAGTTGTTTGGATTCAATCCGCTCTCTTCCGACCTGTCGACCTCTCACGTTCATCAATGTACCAATCCCACGACACTCACTTCTTTTGTCTTTTCTAGTCAATGAATTATTGATTAAGGTGCCATATACCACATGAAAGGAAGCTCTCAAGCCTTCTCGACATACTATATTTGTTTAGGGAAATACACTATTAAAATTGTTGATAGGTCTCAAAATTCTATTGTTGATAAAGGGTCTGCTGTTTTAATAACATGTCTAACTCTGGAATCTGTATTATATGCATCTTTGCTAAAGTGTAACCTTTTATCTGTCAATAAGCTGAAATATGACATTGATGGTGTTGCTCATTTTTCCTCTGATGTTTGTGTCTTTTAGGATCGTCGTTAGGGGAGGATGATTGAAATTGCTAAGCGGGTTGGCGGGTTTTACTTTTTACAAGAGAAAAGAACGTAGAACAAGGACACTCCATCTAGTCGTTGCAGTTTATCTCAGTTCACTGAATGCTTTCTTATGTTGTTATATTGCCGATTGGGTTATCCTAGTTTTTAAGTCTCTAAAACAATTGTATCCGTTGATGTTTACTAACAAAAATCCTTCTAATTTCAAATGTGTAACCTGTCACTTAGCTAAACATTATCGCGTTCTTTATCTGCCCCATTACCATCTTTCGCTTCTTTCTCTTATATTCACAGTGACTTATGAGGACCCTCTCGCACTCCTAGCTACACCAATAAACGTTGGTTCCTTTGATTGATGACCACATTCAGATGGTATGAGTCTATATTTTAAAAGATAAATATGAAGCTGCTGCCACTTTTATAAAATTTCACACCTTCATTTTGACTCAATTCAAAACTTCTATTCAAGTCCTTCGGACTGACAATAATCGTGAATTTTTTAACTTTATATTAGGAGAATTCTTGGTAAGTAAAGACTTCCTCCATCATAGCTTATGTATCGACACTCCTCAACAAAATGAGATAGCTGAGAGAAAAAACCAACATCTTCTTGGCGTTACTCGCTCCATTATGCTTCACTCTAGTGTCCCAAAACGTTTCTGGAATGATGCCATTCCTACCGCTGCTTGTTTCATCAATAGAGTTCCCAAAAAAATTTACAACTTTCGTAACTCTTTAGCCGTCTTGAGACCGTGTTTTTCTAACATTCGGGTATTCTCTACTTTAGATCTCAAAATTTTTGGGTGCACAACCTTTGTTCAGAATACAGCCTCAACTCGGGGTAAACTTGATCCCAATCCATAAAATGTGTTTTTCTCATATACAATGCCATTCAAAATGGGCATCAATGCATTGACCCTACCATAAATTCGGTTTATGTTAGTGCCGATGTCTCTTTTTTTGCAAGTGTTTCCTACTTTCCTAACTCAGTTTCCAGTGAGGGGGAGCTAGAGTTCTTGTACACTTTTCTTTACCATACGACACACTCGTTTCTTGTGGATCCCCCCCCCCCCCCCACGTCATCTACCATCGAGGAACCCTCCATTCCTTTGGTTCTACAGCTACTACCATCACTAAGGAGCCCTCTGTCCCTTTGGTTCCACCAACACATTCTCACACTCTATTTTTACACTCAACACACTCGTTTTGATGCGCCTACTCTATAGGTTACTAACCCTTTGCTGGACCTTGAATCCCCTCCAGACGACATCCCCAACACTGTTCCTACTTTAAATGAGGAAGTCAGTTCCTGTAATAAGTTACACAATAAGACATGTTTTCTCTATCTTGTGGCAAACTATATTTCTTTTCGTAGTTTATTGTCAACCTACAGAGCATTTGCTATATATCCCTGACCAATTATCAACTTTCATCTACTATTGAGGCTGCCTTAGCAGACCCAACCTGAAAAACTGCTGTCATGGAGGAGATGAATGCCCTTCAACGGAACTATACTTGGGACTTTATTAATCTTCCTCGGGGCAAGAAAGCAATGGGAGACAGATGAATTTTTAGCATCAAGTTTAAATCTGATGGATCATTTGAACGTAATAAGGCACTTTTGGTCGCCAAAGGGTACTCACAATTCTATAGAGTTTGCTCTAGTTGCTAAATTAAACACCATTCGGGTTCTTTTATCCCTTGCAGTGAATTTGGATTGACCCTTATTCCAGCTTGATGTCAAGAATGTGTTTCTGAATGACGATCTTACAGTGGAGGTATACATGGTTCTTCCTACAGGCTTTGACTCCACTGCCTCTCAAGGGCAAGTATGTAGGCTGCAAAAACCCCTCTATGTATTGAAGCAATCACCATAAGCATGGTTTGGAAAGCTCGCAAAGGTGTTGGTAAACTATGGGTTCACTCAGGCTCAATTGGACCACTCTCTCTTCTTCCGACATTCCTCCAACGATCAGGTAGCTATCCTTATTATCCATGTTGACGATATTGTTCTCACAGGTAATGATCTACCAATATTGGAGTCTCTGAAAGATATTCTTGTTGCTTCCTTCGAAATGAATGACTTGGGATCTCTCCGGTACTTCTTAGGCATGAAAATTGCTTGGTCATCTTAGAGTATTTGCTCGTCTCAGTGGAAATATGTGATTGACCTTTTGACAGAGAACAATCTTTTCCTGTGCAAACCAGTGGCTGTCTTGATGGATCCCAATGAAAAACTTCTTGCTATTCCCAATGTTGTTCCTGTAAATATGACTCACTACCAGCTTCTTGTGGGGAAAGTCATTTACTTTGCCCATACACGCCTTGACATTTGTCATGCAGTTGGGATAGTTAGTCAATTCATGCATGATCCCTATGAGCATCATTTCTAAGTTGTGCATCAGATTCTCCACTATTTAAAAGATACATTAGACTCAGGTTTTTTTTTCCCGCCATACTCATTCTATTACAGTTTACTAGACGCTGATTGTGCTGGGTTTATCCATGATCGGCGATCTACATCGGGACACCATTCATCTGTGTGGGGAAATCTGGTCATGTAGAAAAACATGAATTAGTCTATAGTTGCTTGGAGCAGTGCGGAGCTGAATTTCAGTCCATGTCTGAGAATTTGTGAAGCATTTTGGTTACGCATCATGTTCCACGAACTGCGTATTACATTCTCCGCTCTCCTACTATTCTATGATAACAAGACGACCGTTAGCATTGCTCACAACCCGATCCATCATGATCGCACCAAGCATGTTGAGATTGACTGACACTTTATTAAAGAAAAACTTGAGTCCAGGGAGATCTGTGTTCTGATTGTACCATCGAGTGACCAACTGACAAATATCCTCACAAAGAACCTTCCTCGACTGTTGTTCGGCGATTTCAAATCCAAGTTGAACATGACTGACTTCTATGCTTCAACTTGAGGGGAAGTGTTAGAATATTTATTAATGACTAGTTTTAGCCATTATTAATTCCTGTTTATTCTGCGTTATTAGCTTGGATTCTTTGTTATTCCTTTCCTTTTCCACTTTATCCTATTTTTATTTCTATGTTTTCTAATAGAGATCTTGTAATGGGTATTTATACCCCTCTTTGTATCAATAAGATTTACCCTGAGTTCTATTCTAACAATTTACATATCTAACACCCAAATATAAATTTTTTACATGCATACCACCTTACCTATGCATGAAAAGTTGTATTTCACTTTTTAAAAGTTAAAATATTGGTATGTGATATGAAAGATTTCGGTGGTATAAATGTGACGAGTAAAGTATAGGTGTCAGATATGTAAATATATCAGAATTGGGTGGTATGTATGTAAATGTTCCCTTCTTTCATCTCTCTGTCCAGGACATACACTTGAAGGTGGGGTGGGGCTGGTGATTGGAGGGAATCAGAGCATACATGCACCCACAGTCTTTTTCTTCGGCATGAAACTGCGCATATTAGAGAATGATCAAAAGAGGAAGAAAGACAAAGTTTTAGTTTCATGAATGTTTTTTCATATGCAGGCCGAGTATAAAAATTCCTGCTCCTGTCATGATGCCAATAGCTTATTTAGTAGAGTTGATATACAAGTTGTTCTCATGTTTTGGAATGAGTGTGCCGCAGCTTACACCTTCTAGAGTTAGGCTTCTTTCATGTGAGAGGACTTTCAGTTGCAGTAAAGCTAGAGATCATATAGGTTATGAACCTATTGTTTCACTCAAGGTCTTTTTTGCAGAATACACCCATTCAGTTCATTATTCTTCATTTCTAAAATACAGAGAATTCATGGATAATTCTTCTGCTTTTTTTTTTTTTTGCATGATTGCAGGATGGCCTAAGGAAGACAATAGATTCATTCTCCCATTTGAGGGCTGTGCAGTTCAAGCGAACTTCTAAGGTTTATGCCTATCTTGGAAATGAGAATGGTATGAATGTAACAAGTTCAAAAACCTAATTTCTCAAGATTTCAGTTTAGTTTTCTTGGCTTATGGGGGTTGGTCGATTTGTTTTTCAGTTGCAAACACTCTCCTTTGGAAAGATAAGAAGCAATCTCTCATCTCTGTTCTATTCTTGGCTGCTATTTACTATTATTTCTTTGCATCCGGCTACACTTTAATCACAGCAATGGCGAAGCTTCTTTCTCTGTCTGCATTATTTCTGTTTGTCCATGGCATGCTACCAACAAAAATGTATGGATCTGCCTTTCTGTTAATCAAAACTATTTCCCAGCGATTTTGAAATCATTTGCTTTTTTCTCCTATATTTCACCAATATGTCATTGTCAATTTACACGATATATCTTCCTTTTTTAACTGAAAAAGCACATTCAAGTTATTTGTCATCTTTACACTAAAAATTCCCATTTATCACTTTCATACAAGCGTGGAACTTGTGATGGCTTGATAAGTAGAAGAGGAATCAGGCTAGAAGAATGAAATTGAGAGAGAAGACAGAGAGAGTGAGTGAGAGAGAGAGAGAGAGAGTACTCAACCTTGAGAGAGAAAATATGCAGGAGAGATGAGAGAGGAAGACGGACCAAGAATGGGTGAGGCTAATGTGTAGCTTGCTTTAGTTTCTATTATAATATGATAATGATATGCTTAAGACAAGGTTCAGATCATTTATTTAGATTAAGGGTCTCTCATAATGACAAACATGCCCGTAAATTATAAAGCATTTACATGACATGAAATAAACATGACACATACATGTGATTTAATTTATGCTTATGATTATATTGTGCTTTTTGTCAATTTCTATGGTGTGCGAAGAGTTCTTCTCTGGATAGTTGAAGAGGGACACCTTCTAATGAGTTGGTGTTTATGTAGGAGGTGACATTGAAATAAAACTTAATACTTTTAGATGTAGACTAAAAATATAGCATGGAGAATGTGGAGGATTACCATCATGAACCTATATGGGGCGCAGGCGATTGATTATTTTTTTGTGGGGATGGATATGTGAGGCTGTTAGTGTTTCTACGCAAAATAATATTAAATTTGTTTATTAGAATTTTTCATACTTTAGGTCGTATCAATAATTTAGAATGAACACATTTTTATTCATGTGATAATACATTAAAACACTTGTTAATTCGGAGCTGTTTGATCAACAGTCTTAACCAGTGTATTGCATTTTTAATACTGGAATTTTGGAAATTCAGCTATTTTTTGATGTAATTACAATTCAATGTAAAATAGTATTGTATTAGAAATTCAGCTTTTTGTTCATTTTCGTTGAATTTAGAATTCAATTGATTTGGCCGAATTTAAAACACATAACTTAATGTAAAGTGCAGACCGCCAACCACCACCACCACCGTTAGCCACTACCGTCACCGCCACCACCATTCTCATTTTACTTTAAACCAAAAAAAAAAAAAAAATGAAGTCGCTCGTTTATTTTACTATAAACTAAACAACAACAAAGTATTTGAAACGCAATACTCGTGCACTACATTTATTTTACATTACATTATGTTTTTTGCAGGCAAAACAACCCCTTCATTATTGAGGTTTGCATTACCAAAGGAGAACCATTACAGGAAGTTAAGACAACATAATAATACAAGTTATTTGTAAACATATTATAAAGAAAACTTTTTTGAAGTCAGCGTACCTTTAGTAATTTCTTACCTTCACGACTTTTTGGAAAAGAAAATAGTATGATAGAGTTTAATGAGTTTAACGACTCAAACAGGCTGATAATCCCTCTTTTCCATAATTTTGTCACATAAGATAATTTCAAATTTTATTACTAAAGCATGAATAGATTTATATGTATGTATACGCACACTTGTTGGAAAACAGCAATGTTCAGATACTTGGTCGGGTCTCAAATAAATTCTTCGCACAAATTTCAAATTAATCTATCCTGAACAATTCCAAATAGTGACAACATAAAATTTGGATTTCAAAAACTTTGAAAATATTTATATAGCTTTATGGTCCAAAATGTTCTCCTAGCTGAGTGGTTCACAATAGAACAACTTGCCATCATGCATATATTCTTATATTCTGAATTTTACCTACAAAGCAATAAGTATTCAAATAATCTAAAATAATTTGATAATATTTTCAATATTTGCACAATTCATATGCATACAATTTATAAGAACTAATGACACAAACTTCACATCCATCTCATGTGTAAATTAGTAAGAACTGAACTTTTGTGAAACAAAATTGGCATAAGATAGACAAATTAACCTAATTAGAAAGTGTTCACTATAATTGAACTTCCACAAGACGGCCTTCGATCTTTGTTCTAGAAAATAAAAAGGTGCTGTTCGGCTTATAAGTAATGATAGAAACAATTCGAAGTTTCATGCTTTTAAATTGATTTATTATATAAATAGCAAAACATTATGGGGGCAGTTACATACGTAGCACACAGTTCTTATTTATTTACATATCTCACACCTAAACTTTCATATTTACACACAAAGGACTCAAATTTTTAATATCACATAAAAATAACACTATTATCACTTTTTAAACGTGAAAGACGCCTTTTCACGTATAGGTTTAAAGTACCAAAGTGCTATGTATGTAAATATGAAAGTTTAAGTGTCATATATGTAAATAAATAAGAATTGTGTTCTACGCATGTAAATTTCCCAAACATCATTGCCCTTCTTATTCTCAATATCTTATTTCTCAAACTATTATTTGTGTGAAAGATCATTTATCCTTCAGTGCATGGATTCATCGAGTGCTGTGCCATCCTAAAGATGCATTTCCTTATATTTTTAACGTATCATTTTTATTTTTTTGGCAATCATCCTAGTTTCATTAATCATGATCAACATAGAACAATGTTGCAGATTGGGCTACAATATTGAAAAGATGCCACCTTCTTATTTTCACTTTTCAGAAGAGAATGCCCATCAGTTTGCATCATCATTAGGTTCCTCATGGAATTCCTTAGTTGGCATACTGAGATCTCTTTACAAGGGAAGAGATTGGTCTTTATATCTTAAGGTTATTGAATTTTAAGTTGATTTTAGGTTTATATATATTTTACATTTTTGTTCTCTACTGTGTCTATAACTTTTTCACTGTTGATATCAACAGGTAGTCATCACCCTATTACTTGTGAGTTTCCTTGGAGCCATGACTGTGCAAAGCTCATACAAAATAGGTTTTATTCCTCTCTTTTCCCTCAATTGCAAACTGAGGGGGCATTTGGGGCAGCGATGCGGTACCATAATGTGCTTTTTTTCTGTTTGGCAAAGCTGCATTTTGCCAGGTTTTTAAAAAAATTACAGCTGAAAATTGCGTTTTGCAATGAAACCTAGCTAAGTGCGGTGACTGCTAGAAAGTTACGGTTTGACTTTTGAAAAAAAAAAAAACTATAATAGCAACCATAGTATTTTTAACTTCTTATGCAACAACTTCACGACTGCCTATTTAAACTGCAACAGTTGCCCCAAACAGACCTTGAACCTCATCTTTATCATTCTGAATTGTGATTGATATCTCTTTATTTTAAACTTTAAGAAGGAGAAAGAAAAAAAAAATCATTTTTTTTCAGGTATTCCAGCATTATTCATAGGTGTCTATATTTATGAGAAATGGGAAGATGAAATCGATGGTGCTTTCGATAGAGTTCGATTCGAGGTTTTGAAGCTGCAATCTTATGTTACAAAGATATTTAAGAGGCAGCAGTAGGCGCATCATTGCTAAAATAAGCTGGAGGTAAGATTTAACATAAGATTGGGGCATCATTTACATAAATACCACACAATTCTCGTGTGTTTGCATATCTAATACTTATAAACTTTTATATTTACATTAATAACACTAAAAACTTTAACATCACATAAAAATACCACCTTTATTAACTTTTTGAAAGTGAAATGCACATTCTCATGTATAAGTTTACGACACAAAAATATTATAAATATAAATATCAAACTTTATGTGTTAGATGTGTAAAGCATAAAAATTATGTGGTATATATGTAAATTTCCCTATAAGATTTTTTCAGTCTGGATGGCATTGAATCTTTTCTCATATAGGACCTGATATAATTAATCGTAACTATGAGCCAGATGTCTTGAGAAGTTGGAGCCCAGTGGATAAAGAAACGAGTTTCAAATTGGTATATATGTAACCTCTCGTCTACTTGTTGCATAAACTGAGTATTATTTCTTGCCATTTGTTCTTTAGAAAGCTTTTATTTGTGTTGTATGTTATCTATTAGATTTAATTATTTCAGTTTATATCTTTTAAGATTATTATTTATTTTTGGACGCCACAGATTTTTTCATTGTAAATCATTCGTTTACAAAATTGAGTAAAATTAAAATTTTTATTTCTTAATTTACATTTTCTATCTGCAAACAATCAACTATGCCATTTGATGAGCTTCAATGATGAACTTTTGTTACATTGACAATTTTTTAGGAAACAATATTAGAATTGTAGGGTCACAAAGGCGTGAATCCTGTACTTAAAAAAATAGTTTGGAAGTTGAACAAACTTAGATTTGTTTGAAAATATCATTTAAATGATCTCCTCCTTTCATATTCAATGTTGCATAAATTTGTAGGCTGACCAAACTTAGGGATATAAGTTGAGATATTCAAAATGTAACAAATGTTCATCTGATATACTTAATCACCTACAATTATCTTACTAATCTCTTTAATCTTTCATAATCACAATTGCCAAAGATATTTGTAGTAACTTTCTTTTGAACTGTATTAATACCTTATCCGATTTTGAGGGAAGGTGAAATTTTATAGTTCTTGGTTACATTTGGTCTAGACCTAATGGTTTATGTATATGGAAGTCATGTCCTTGCCTTGTTCATGTGGGTGCTCATTTGTGGAAAAGGAGATTGATATAGCTTGGGTGCGCATTAATCGTTTTATATCGAAAAATGGAACTGAATGAAGTATATCTGGTTGATTGGTTCGGCTCATTAAATGATGGCCCAAATTTTTATTTTGAATTAAGGGTTATTTGAATTGCGGTTTTTGAACCAGCTTGATTCAGTCGATTTAATAAATATGCAACCAATCAACCCAAATCAATTTGAATAAATTGAACACCCTTAGGTATATATCTATCAATTCGATTTCCAGCAAACGATGTTTTGTTGTTGCTTGTGGGATAGACGCCTCCTTTTAGGTTGACTAAATAGTAATGCCTACTCAAGTATTCGAACACTTCTTCTCAATGACCAAGCAACAATGCACATAACTCAAGGGCATCTTGTGCAACCACATGCTAGGTGAGAAATTTCTTCCATACATTAATAACATCATAGCCAAGCTTCAAGTACTACCTTTTGTTTGGGGGAAGAACATTATTGATGTATGTACTTTTAGGTTTTCTCCGTAGGATTACATATATTGAATGCAATAATCCCTAAATGAGACTCTCACCACATCTCGTTATACCCCCAGAATCATTAGACAAACAACATACCAAGGATATGTCACCATCAAGCTGAGGTTTCTTTATTTGTCTACTTATAAAAATGGTTTTGGCATTGCTAGCTCCTCTCATCCTCCTATGAATTAGGCATTTGCTGACTCTCAATAAAGGTTAGTCAAATTGCCTATAACTTCAATTGACATTGTTTGATGTAACTCTCAATCGAGCTTCTATGAGGCCCCTTCATGGGTGCGACACTTTTTTTTTTGCACTTAATCATAACCTTACACATACTAGGTTGACGCGACATCTTAAAAAAATATCAATTTTATTAGGGCAAGTGAAGGTGAAATGACATAATCAACATAACTAGGAGAGTCATAGTCTTATGCTTATGATCAAAATCCATCATGCATCTACTAACATCACCTTACAATTTGATGACATTTGAAGTGCTTATTGCCCAGCACATGGCGCCCTTTAACTGATGACCTCTAGATGGTGCTAGCCTTATTGTTTTTGATGGCTTGAACTTTGTGTCCATAGCTCATTTCCCAATACTTAGCAAACCTTTCCTCATTAAGTTCGCCGCATGCTGCCATCAGATCAGACCTTTGACCTCTCTATAATTCCACTATTCATAACATGACAAGCATCATTCATCTCAAAAATCCCTTAGAAATTCAAAGAGGAGGCAAAATAGGAAAAAATAGGAAAAAGAATTGAAAAAAATTAGAAAAGTTTTTTATTTTTCAAGCAGTTAATATATTATAAAATTTTTTTTTTACAAACAGTGAAAATGAAGAAGTACAAAAAGTTGCACAAAATTGTAAAGAAAAATGGGAAATTTTGTATTTCTCATTATCAGCCTGTGCGCACACGTGACCTTTCATAAGATGCTACACATTCTCATGAACGTGCTTGCACCTACAACTGTGTGACCATGCGAGCATGCAGCGCTATGTGCATTGTTGCATGCACGACTGGCGTGAGTTTAGATGTTCCAGATTTAATTTTGACCCTTTCAAAGTGTGATGGGTTCTCTGCAAATAACTTTGGGCAACATTATTTTGAGCAAAATTTTCTGAAATCTTTTGTTCTGATCAAAGTGCAAACTTCAATAAAGTTTAGAATTATGATTGAAGAGATTTTGTTTTGTTCCCAACATCAAAAGGAGATCCTTGTTGACATCGAATAAGTGGTTATATCTTGTAATTATTCCAAAACTGTAATTTATCATTGCAGAGTTTTTGACGTGGGGCATCTTATTTACGTGGACTGGTTTAGTCCAGGGTTATTGAGGTTCCATTGAACCTCTACTTTTGGGAGTGCCACCTCTTTTTAAGAGGGACCCACTCCTAGTTATCGCATAACAGATATTTGCTTTTGATGGTGTTTAAGATTTAGTTTTTGTTGTGATTTGCTTTTGTACATTTGTGAGCGTATCCTTCTCCCTCCACACGCTATATTTTGTAGGTTCTAAGTGATGCTGTAACTGTATCTTGGTCTCTAGGTGTGTTTACACTTCATATACATTTACCCGATCCTTTTCCACACAACTCCCACATCCCCTTCTTTGTTGGCCTGCTACTGCAGCCCAAAGAATAAGAAACTTTGCTTTCTATGTCCCACCTATTGCCCCCGTCCAAGTACAATATTGTCTTGTTGTTCTCCCCTTCCAGCTTCCTAGATGTCTCCTTGTCACAACCATTGAAGTCCAAACCCTAACTGACACCACCTACACCTTATTGTTTGCTTCAATTTATTGTATTTTCAATTTATCACTTCTATAAAGTTGCTAGTGATTGTGTTTCTTCTCACATTGTTTTCATACTGATTTCTGTATCATTTGGTATTAAAGATAGCCTAATCCTCGCTCCATCTTAGGGTTATCAATATCCACCAATAACTAACTCAAAACTCCACCTATAACGCTTCCTCCATGATGAATTTTCAAACCAACCACCCTAATTTTCATCCACCCTAAACTACTTACACTTTTTCCACCCATAACTGGTGGCCGAAAGTGCTGCAAAATGGATAGCCACTTCATACAAGTATATGCGTGCAAGTAGCTTACGGTTTTAAAAGAGTACCGCGTATCGTTCCCATGAGGAAGCGTGTTAAGAAATCAATTTGAAAAATTCAAAGTTATATTTTACTAACTATTCAAACCTAGTTTGGTGAAATCCGAAAATAATTAAAGAAAATCCTAAGTCTAGCAGATTTTGAAGAAAACAAAACAGAAGAAACGTGGATCAAATTTTTTTGGTGTTTTTTTCAAAATTGATGATTATCATGCCTCTGTGATTTGGGCGTGACACTTGGCTTAATTTTCATACAAATTCCTCTTTCGTGGTTGTTGTTAGACAGAGATATTAAGTTCATAAGCGTATGTCTAGGTCCCAAGAAGATTTAGAATTCTACAAAGCTAGCTTTCGCCTATCTTTATGGCATCCCCAATAAATTTACATCATTTATTTGTTGCGAGATCCCAGGATAAAATATTTTAATTTTATTCAGATCTTGTGGGTAACCTAATCGTTCCACTAAGTTTCTGTCAAACTCGCAGATAATGATAGATTTTAACATCATAACTGGCAAGATTAGAAGTAAACGAACGCTAGAAGGTTAACCTACAACTTTTATCAAATTAAAGCGCTGAAAACGATAAAAAAATCAGAAATAAAAATCAAACCAGGGAATCAATCTAAAAAATCACAGAGGCATGAAAAATTATTTAGCTATTTATGACTCAGAGAAAAGCAAAGGCAATTTCCTTGAAATAAAACTTGCAAGAAATTTTTTTATTGAGATAAAAATGACTTACAATCCTTTGATCTCCTCTCTTACAAGAACATCACCCAATTCTCTCACAATCCTCTTAGAAAAAACAAGAAAAAGAAATCTGAGGAGAAGAAATCTCTCTCTTAACCTTAGACTCCTGTCATCTCCTCTCAAAAAGCTCTCTAAAATCTCCCAACTACATTATTTTTATAGCATGAATTCAAAATCCTTCCCAAATTCGTCAGAATCCTGAGTTTCCAAATCAGAAAATATACTTTGACACGACCAGGTGTAATTACGCCGCCACCTTGGGTTGGTTGGCCTGCTCACGTTGCGTTTCAGTGTGGCTACACCAGTCCTTCCATCGTGCGGCCTTCTTCATCGTTTGAGCGTGGCCACACTCGAATTCGGTGTGACCATGCCCGAATTCGACACAACCACACTCGAATTCAGCGTGAACACGCTATTGAAGTGGTGTGGCCACAACAATTTCAGGCCTGGCTACCCCGAGCCGGATTCTCCTGAAATTCCTCATTTTGCTCTGAATTTCGTGCTAGCCTTCTTGTAACTTGCAAATGTAATTCTAACCTTTCGAAAGCATAAACTCATGTATTTAATGTGAAAAATTGCTGGAATTTAAGCATAAAATATATGAAAATTTGATGCATTTCAATCTCCACAAACTTTATCCAATTACTTGCCCACTTTGCTCAGTTTTTCAAGGAAATAAAATACTTTTCTTTCATGTAATTCTTCGTCTTATTAACACAGGAAGCGAAAATTTTATTAAAGTTACATGAACTCCATTTTCAAGTTTATGGTTTCTTTTAAATATTGCAATCTTATCCTATCATGATTCATCTCCTAATCTAACATAAGAATTTTTTCTCGTTTAGATTGGTAGGACTATGATTTCAGTTTATCTCACTAAAAGTGATTAAACACTTTTTATTCTAACTAAAGCTTCCTCTTAACTTTTCATGAATTTATAAATTACCTAAGATTTCTGATAAAGTTATGGGTAAATCATTTGACATAGTGAAGATGTTAGAATATCAGAATTTTGGATTTGAAAGTGCCTAACCTCAAGCTTCTTCTTTAGGCCATTCATGTTCTTAAATAAATATTTCTATATCTGGTTAAAAGTGTCAAACCATTTTTTACATTTTCTTTTTCTTTATATATTCTAACTTTACCTCAATCAAATCTTTACCCATCCCTTATCATAAGTTTTAGTTCCTAAATAAATTCAAATAAATTAAGTTTCACCCCTTGTTGAAATAAAATATTAAGGCTTAAGCATTTTAATGAGAAGTTTTTAATTTCATAAATCCCCCTTTCAAAATACCCAAAGATCTCTATGTTTAGGTAGAAGAAAATTATTTTAGGCTTATAATTACAACTATTCACTTCCATCTTATCTTTAAAGGAATTTCACATTTTCTCAACTTAATTTTTATTTTCCCAAATCTCTATGTTTAGGTAGAAGAAAATTATTTTAGGCTTACAATTACAACTATTCACTTCCATCTTATCTTTAAACGAATTTCACATTTTCTCAACCTAATTTCTATTTTCCCAAATAAACCGAGATGTATGAAAGCAGACAATAAATAAAATCTCAGCAAACTAAAGAATTACCTGCTGGTAGCCAATAAGATGATGACTCCTCCCCCAAACATGTCCCGCACCCTACTGGCTAAATATGAAGGATGCATAGCAGAATATACAACAATATATGATAGAAATCACAACTTAAGTTGTCAGGTAAAAAAAAAATTTGGAAACATGCTATCAGAGTGTTCAAAGTATAGGTGCAAGTAAATAAATAATACGTACAACAGGAAAATGTAATACGAGAAAACCAACCACAATTTTACCAGTACATCAAATCTACATATCAACATCAGAGAAAAGAAATCCAAAGTCACACCAGTACAACGATCAAATAAACAAACCAATCAATACAACATAACATATCATCAAATACAAGCGCAAGTCTACCTACTCCCTTTCACCGCTCTCCGCTATGATGTCTCGAGTAGGGCTCCAAATGGTGAATGGTGAATAGTGGTGGTGGTGCAGGCCTCACGCCCCAGTGCTCCTAAAATGCTCCCAGCCGCCCATGAATGTACTCATACTGGTGTTGGTGTTGCGCGACGTAGTAGGCAGAGTGGAGGTGCAAGTCATCTAGCTCCCCCGTCATGGTGTCATGGTTGCTCTGAAGCTCTCTCACATCTATAATTAGCTCCCCCTGAAGTGCCATCATCTCCCTAATGTCTCTAATCAAGTAAAAAAGGGTGGAGTCACGAGTCACTGTGGATTGACGTCAAGATGAACTCTCTCCTCGCTTAGGAGAAGAAGCAGATGACGAAGCATAAACATCAACGAAAGACTTACTGGTCGGCTTCTGTGGATGCGGGCGCTCCTCATCATCACCTACAAAATTACCCTCTCTAGTACATAAGGTCGCGATCAAGCTAGGGTTTCCCTAATCCTACGATCGACTGACTGCTAACAATATAGGCTATAAAATCATGAAACAGGACACCCACATCAATCAAAATGCCCTTCTGAATGCAAAAGTTCAAAATGGCCTGCTCCTTCGTGACATCAGTAAGGCTAAATGCATCAGTGGCTCTAATCCCCGATTCTGTTGTTAGGAAGCTAAATGCATCAATGACTTTAATCCCCGATTCTGTCAATGATCTGAAGACAGCTGCATTGATTTTACTTATCTTTCTGCTAGAACACAAAAGATGCTTATCACTAGACTCTGCTAAGGGATGATTATGACCTTCTATAAATTTCTTAACTGATCAGGGTCCTTCGACATCAACAACATATCAAATCATGACTAGATAACCGGTCTTTGTGTTCGCTCTTTTGAATTTCCCTGTGCTATTGAACTTCGACTCTTTCTTGTAACCAGCCTTACCACGAATAAATTCCTTCGTCTTAATCTTTTATCGAATTTGCTCAAAAACTATTGTTGTTTTTTCGAACAGTAAATCTAATATAGTGTGCATAGACACAATAATTTTCATATGCTTTATTCTCATTATGAGCAACTGTGCAAAGAAAACAGTTTGCAATTGGATCATAGCAAATAATTTCAGGTTATGGTAGCCGTAAATTTAGAAAACATATTAAACATTATTAGATAAGAAAATAATACCGATTGAATAGTACATTCCACTAGGACCTTCATAATTACACAATCACATTATAATTATAACGGAATAATACTAGAAAAACATAGCAATAACACCACATCCCCACCTTAAGAAAACCGTCGTATTACACATCTAATAACACCGCAATAACATCACAATAATACAAAGATAACACCATTAGAACACCTAAACAATACTCCAATAATTCCTAGTAATTAACTTCCTACAACACAACAATAACACAAGAAAAACATCTGTGAAATGTCGCATTAACATCACATCAACACATCAATAAAATAGTAACATTACAAAACCAGTATAACACCATGGTAAAGCCAAAATAACACCACAATAACACCAAAATAACACCAGAATAAAATGAAGCAACTAACCTCCAAAAACACGAGGAAAATACAACATTAAAATGTGGCAATAACACCATATCCTCACCCCAATAAAAACGCAACTTTACAAATCCATTAATACCGTAATAACACCACAATATTACCAAAATAACATCATCTAAATACCATTGTAACGCAACAATAACACATCAATAAATCCAAAAACTTTATGATAATAATAATACAACAACGACATGACATAACAACACTGACAAAACACTATTAACATTAGATTAATGCATCATAATATTGCATTAACACCAGTATAACAAGCCCACGGTGCTACCACAATAACAACATTTCAGGCGCAGCTAAACCCACCTCATCATCATGGTTCTCACAAATATTTTGAGAATCCATCATCATTTCCTGATCGAGAGAGACGTCCATCGCCGTGAAAACCCTAGCTGATGGATACACAAATGAAATACCCGACACAATAAAAACCTAAACATGATAAAATGTGTTGTTTTGATGGAATTGGCGGGATCAAAAGGATCAAAAAATGACAATGCTCTTTTTCGAAGGTCTAGGTGGGTCGCGCGCTAAGAAAAGTCTAAAAGTTGTTTATATATATATATATATAGGCAAGTCCTGTAAAGGAAACTTGTAGCGACGTTAGTCACGATCAACCACCGACGACTTGCTTGCCACGTAATGCGCAAGCCGCTTATCTCTATTTTTAAATTTTAATATTTAGTTACTGAATTAAGTAATTTAATTGAATAAAATAACAGTTTTAAAAATTTGGCCCCGTCCCTCTACTTAACTTGCTCGCAGTAACAGTTTTAAAAATTTGGCCCCGTCCCTCTACTTGCTCGCACTCTATTTGTCCTCACATGGAGTCAACTGAGGATTATTAAAAGGGAAAGTCTTGTATTTGAGAAAGGGACACTCCATGCCTTCTAACATAGATACAAAGAGTAAGAAGTGATAAAATAGCTTTAAATAGTGTATTGATATCATGTATGAACTAATATTTTTATATGTAGCTCTACAATACAATTTATTATTTGTTTAGCCCTTGATTGTGTATTTCTTCAAGTATGCCATTATTGAGTTGTTGAGTTAGCATTATATGCTTTAAATATATGGCCCCAAATCCCCCCTTTAAATATGCAAGTGCATTATGTGCTTCCTAATGTAGTTTGTATCTCTAATATCTTTAACATTCTATTAATTTTTTATATTTTATATATTAAAATAAATTTTTATAGTTATAAATATACAACTAAGATGAAAGTATTAGTTGAACATGGAGATGTATAAATAAAAATATTCTCACTAATAGTTGAATTTCACCTAATGAATTAATTAAGATCTAATAATTATGTCAATTTTGATTAAATGTGCAAATCTAATTATACATGGTACTAAAACTAAATATTTGATTAATTAGTATAAAATACATAATTAATTGAACTTGATTAAAGCTTAATTATGAGTTAAGCTTGGTAAAATTATAAAAAAGAACAAGATTAAAATTAAGATTATGCTAAAATTAAGGTCAAATTAAGTCGATAAATAAATGAGCTTAAATAAATTAACACTCATTTATAATCTTAGAAGTGAACCCTGCGCTTAAATAAATTAACACTCATTTATAATCTTAGAAGTTAACCCTGCGCAAAAAAAAAAAAAGAAAAAGAAAAAAGCAAATAAAATAAAAAAATATGTGATAATCACTTGAGGTGATATTTGGCTACAATTTTGATTTACGTGAAATAAGATTTATCAAATCAGATAAATTCAGATTCATCAAATCCAAACTGAGACGATTTTGCTTGCGAACAATAATAAAAAAGTTGAATTTATTAAATTCAAATTTACATCATATAAGTAACAAAGCATACAAAAAAAAACTAAATGTGAAAAAAATTAATTTTAATAGAGATGGATTTAATTTTTATTTTTTTTTATATTTGATTAAATTTAGTTAAATTTATGATTAAATGCAATAAATAGGTTGCCGCCCAAAACAGACCATGTTTCTGGGCTAAAATCACCTCCACTAAGCATACCGCTTCCCATCTTCTTCCCTCTCCGCTCATCACTCCACATCGCCATCTCCCTCAATAAATCCCGATCCCCCTCGGCCCCAAGGAAGAAGAAAAGAGCAGAAACCTGTCCTGGTGCGAGGTTCGTTCACAGATCAGAGGAAGCATGGCGTCGCTAAAATTACACGGAATGATCGGCTCGACGAACACTGTCAGAGTGACGGCGGTCCTCAACGAGCTCGATGTCGACTACGAGTTCATCTCCGTCCCCCTCACCACCGGCGCCCACAAGAAGCCCGAATATCTCGCCATCAACGTACTCCCCACACCCCTCATTTCAATCTCCCACAAAATTTTTGCAGATCACTTCCCATCTTAATCTTTCCCTTTTCACTTTTCAGCCATTCGGCGCCCTCCCGGCACTCGAAGACGGAGACCTAAAGCTCTTCGGTGAGTAATTTCCTTGTACGATTCTTCTAGTTTTCACTAATCCTGATTTTCGATTGTCGAAATCCGGCGATCAGAGTCGCGTGCGATTGCCAAGTATCTCGCTAATCATTACAAAGGGTCTGGGCCGGATCTGCTCAGATCCGGAAACAAGGCGGAATCGGCGATGGTGGAGGTGTGGCTTGAAGTGGAATCCCAGGTGTTTAATCCTCCGGTCTCTTTGATCGTCTTTAATGTTCTTATTAAGAAGCTGCTGTTCGGCGGGAGCGCGGATGAAGACGTGGTGAAGGAGCAGGTGGCGAAACTCTCAAATGTGCTTGATGTTTACGAGAAGAGGCTTTCCCTGAGCAAGTATCTTGCCGGCGATGAGTTTACTCTGGCCGATCTGAACCATTTGCCTTACTTGTATGCTCTTTCGAAGACGGGTTATGCTGGGCTTCTGAGCTCGCGCCCCCATGTGAATGCCTGGTGGGAGGATATTTCTGCTCGGCCGGCGTGGAAGAAGGCGATCGCCGGATTTCCGTACTGAGTTTTACCGGCTTTGTGATCGCCGGGGGTTGCAAGAGAAGAGGGCGCTAGATGACTTTGTTTGAGTTATGTGGTTTAGGTTGGAGGTGAAATAAATCGAGTAGTATTATGGACCCTCTTTTTCTTTTGTTTCCTTCTTTAGTTGATAAATAATGGGGAGAATGGAATCCAAGTGGAAATCTTTACCCTTAAATTTAATAATGTAGCACTTCTTATCACTTCTAATTATGTCAACTCTCTAGACAATTTTTTTTTTTTGGAATATTTGAGGGTAGGCTGCATGCACAAAGCTTTGAATGGATGGATATCATAGGTGATAGATTTTTGTTGAAAAATAAATCTCTTAATCATTAGAACAAGTTGCGAGTGGCTGATCGGGTGTTCGGAGGATGGTCCACTTGTTTGTCATGTTGTTGTGTAAGGCACAATGGTCCATCCAAATCATCATTCAGATGTGCCGTTGCTGCACGTAATATTTTCACCATAATCACAAGGGAATTGCATATATTTAAATTTTAAACTCAAGCTCAAATTTTAAGATAATCATATCATTAAAATTATTAATGAAAAATCTCATCTTTCATCCATATATTCTTATATTTATTTATCAATATGGGGTTATTTGGTTTGCTAAAAGAATAATTATGAAGTAAAAGAAATGCAAAGTAGTTTAAAGGTACGTTTGTTTCAGCTGTAGCTGTAAAAAAGCTGGTTTCAGAAGTAGTTGGTCTGCTTGAAAAACATAGTTATAAAATGTTATGAATTGATATAATGATTGTAATGCCTTTAAGTAAATAAATACTGTTCAATTTAAATTGTTTGAAAAACACTATTCTAAAAGTGTTTTTTGTGAAATAAATTCACTGATAATTTATCAAGATTTTTTCACTCACAAAAACATAATAAAAGAAGTAAAGGTGGACATTAGCTGAAATCATAAGAAATCATCAAATTGTCTTCCAACAACTCCAACAACAACACAATCACAAGAAATTGTGATAGATCAAATGGTTCAAAAAATAAATCTGCTTATAAAATAAAAACTTAATGCAATACATTTTGTTCTCTATAGCACAAGTACATAATTAAAATAAATGTAATGCTAATAACAATAAAAAAGGTGCTACAATCACAAAATCGAACAGAAGTCAAGTCTTTAAATGGAACTTCAATTCTCTAATATCATTTTTAGCGTATCATCAACTGCATATATCATTTTGTCAGCTCGCTCCTGCGATGCTTCTCTCTGCTCATCAACCTTACTTGAAAAATTTATTGGACATTTGTAGAATTTATGGAGCACAAAATGATGCATAATAGATTGTAATCATTGAAAACTGCTCGATGTTTGTTTCCCTTAGCACTTGTTGAATTGTTTGGGCTCATTTTCGGTTGTTCAATCCAGTACACTAAATATTAGAATAGAAATAATAAATTTTGTTGCATATACAAAAAAGAACTAGACCATTGCTACCGAAAACAGGGCAACCACAACAAAGAAGCACAAGAAGAATCTCCAAAAACAAATAAATTGAGCTCAATACTTACCTGATGAAAAAGACATTAAAATACATTCCAAATACTGTAAATATTTTAGCACAAAAAACATTTACAAGTATTGTTGAATTTTAATGCAATGGCTGAAAACATCATAGCTCAAATGACAACCTGACAAAAAGGGAAAGAACAGTAGAAATTTGAATTAATCAGCAAATCCGAAATAATATGGAAAGCAATTGGAATAAAAGAACTCAAAAAAAGTTCATACAACCTTAGAAAAGAATGCTTTAAAAACTTTAATTTTTTTTCCAAAGATGCATAAGATCAACATGTTGTGGTATATAGACAAATAAAATGTAGAAGAATGATCTTTGACAAAAAATAGAACGAGAAAATTCACACTCCCAAAGTAGAAAAAACAACAGAAAACACACAGATTTATGTGGTTCGTCAAATTGCCTACGTCCACAGAGTTGCAGAAGTTTTTACTACTTGAGGAATTTACACCAGTCGATCGTCTCGACTTACAAGGGTGAACTCTTTCTCTCACTTTGTTGCTCTCTTTTCTTCTCTCTTTTCTTCTTTCT